TAATGGTTTTTTCTGTTTAGGTTCAATCACTTTTTCATATATATCAAATTTAACATTATTAGTTAGCTTCTGAACTGGAAGTGTAAACAGTAATGAGATTTTATTGGGATTTTCATGGTTAGGAATGATGCAAAAGAGATGCTAATCGTGGGTGTGTTACAGGAGAAAATGATTTTTGTTTTCTTCTTTAAACTTCAAAATGAGCTTAAATATATAACTATTGAAGCCTTTTAAGGGCCATTTGATAACAGCTGAAGTGGCAAAACTGAGAAGCTATTTTTACTTCTCTTTTAGTGAATGAACAAGTTTTCAAGGAGATTGTGTGCTCCTTAATGGATGAAGCAGAAATTGGTTAAATTATAATAGCCTTAAATATTTTATTAATTTTAATTATTTAATTCACTAAAAGACAAAAACAATAAGACATTCAGTTCAGAAGTTCAGTTGTCATAAAAAAGCCCCTAATTTAGATATAACAAGTCCATTGTACCAATATAGACTCACAAAACCCTTGTCTTGGTCTGTGACAATCCAACTAACCAAATTGCTTGAGCAATTTTTGGAACTATTCCCCAATCCCAAAAGTGGATGTAAATATGCAATTTAGTAGAAAGATACAAAATTAATTAAAAAAAAAAAAAAAACTAGTAAAGTATATGTACATTTAGGCCAAAAACGTGTTTGGTGTTGTTTTGTCTTCTGCGGCTTTCTTTGAAAGGAAACGGCTCAATCATGTTTTGGTGTTGTATTACGGTATGTGGGACACATTGAGACCCAACAAGTACTTCGACAATAAAAATGTACATATCCCAACAATTAACAATTCTGATTTGCTACTCCCTTTGACTCTTGGACATATCCAAACGCTCCGTTTGGATAAGCTTTAGCTTTTGAGATTGGGCCGTTGGAAAACAAAAAATGAGCAAAAAAAAGTATTTTGAGCCTTTGTATTAGTTATTTTTTAAAATACAATAATTTAAATAAACACTTTTAGTTTTATGTCCCAAAAACACAAATCCTGAAACTTATCGAAATGCAACATTGACTTTTATCTGCTTTTTGTTTTAGATGTGCACAATTTGGTTATCGAGATAACAGTATAATGTATAACTAGCGGAGGGCGAGGGCTCTACTTCGCAGGCGCTGGAATAGAACCGTTGACCTGTTGATTCGATATTCTGGTCAAAAACTATTGAATTGGTCAATGATCCATTGATCTGAATAGTTAAATCATTGACCTGTTGATTTGTAAAATGGTTTTTAGTTATTTTTTATTTTTTAATTGAAAACCATCTAGTCAATCGGTTCCATTTTATCCTAATCTCGGTCTCTAGTCAAAAATCATTGAATCAGTCAATGATCCATTGACTTGGGCGGTCAAACCATTAACTTGTTCAATGGTTTTTGTTGTTTTTTTTATTTTTTTAATTTTTATTGTTAAAACGGACTATCCATTCGAACTGAACAGTCGAACCATCAACCCGAAAACTGGTGGCCAGAACAATTCCATTTTCAAGTCGTATGAGTCACACGCTTGAATGATATAACACATATGGTACTATTTAATGGACCTCACACACTCAATTTTTTGCATGTAATTTTTGTTGTCAGAACGGATTGTCTATTTTTTTATTTTTTTTAATTGGAAACCGCCCAGGCAACCAATTATGTTTTACCCCAATCCCGGTCCTTGGCCAAAAACCATTGAATCGATCAACGACCCATTGACTTTAGTGGTCGAACCGTTAACCCGTTGACCCATTCAATGGTTTTGGTCATTTTTTTTTTAATTTTGTTTGTCAAAACGGGCCATCCATTCGAACCGGACAACCGAACCATCAACCCAAAAATTAATGACCAAAACGGTTCCATTTTCGAGTTGTATGAGTCACATGCTCGAATGATATAACATCATGGTTTTTAAAACCAACCCAAAGACCGAATTGGTCAGGGTCCGGTTACCGGGTTGAACAGTCCGACCATTCAAATCAAACAGTCGACCTATTCTAAAAAAATGGTCAAAACCGTTCAAACGATTCGATATCTAGTTATTAACAATATTTATAATAACTATTATATATTTATATAATTAGATATTTATAATAATAATATATATAATAACTGTAATATATTTATATAATTAAAAGGAAATGGGTTGCTCTCACGTGGGAATCTACTCCATTTCCATTTACAGCACGGAGAGTACCCCAAGCGTTTTAGTGGTGTAGTTTTCAGATTTTTTTTTTTTTCATCAATAATTAGGATTTAGGACGTAAGGGATCATTAGAGCAAATGTAAAATGAAATTACATGAGGACTGTTTGGCTACATTTTTCTAAAAAATTCGAAGGAAAGAGAAATTACAAAAGTATAAAGTGATGATCATAATGATAATAACAAGAAGAACAAGAATATTGATCATGATCTACCGTCACCATTGCTTGTGCACATGTCCATGTAAGGTGGTATAATTAGCAAAGCATCGGAACGTGAAAAGACACAAAAACCCTTGGCATGATCTGTATCATTATGTGTGAATGCAATGGTGAGGGTAGATCTTTGATCCTACTTGGAAGAGCATGTTTAACATTTATCTGATAATAATGTCGGTGCCCGCAAATTTACTGATAAAGTCTCTAGGTGGTTGTAGGGAAGACATGAGATCGAGTCCCATCTTCTTCAGAGCAGGATTACCGGGTTTAAAGGATTAGGGAAGAGCTGCCCTAGCCCGTTTGCCTAACAAAAAATATAAAAATGTCGGCACAAACAAACCTCTGAAAGACAAACTATAGAATGGATATGTTGCTGACGGTGGGTCCTTTAATTTCTGGCTTCTAAAGCTATCTGGGTCGTCTTTGATCCCCATGGATGAAGCATTCTACAGTTTGTAGCTTAGAAACCGGTTTTATCTTCTTCAGTATACAATCCTGGAGCCTCAAGGGTGTTTTATCTCACTATATTTATGATTCCCGACGTTCTTAGGACTCCATGAAGCTTATTATTACCCTGAATTTCGTACAATTAAAAGACTGCATTTAACCGATGTAAAAGTATATCAATGGCGTTTTACATCGAACTGTTGGCATGTGACCGTTCAATCGAAAAGTATGATAAAAAAAAAAAAAAAGCAGAGTTTTACATTGATTTTATTAATGTAATATTTATATTTTATTTACATCTAAAATTCCACTTCATCCCAATATATGCAAAACTGAATCGAAAATATTTTTAATCCAACCTTCGGCGAAATCAAGGAAATTCTTTAGTCTATTTATACATTTTTATTGGTTCATGTTTTACAAAAATGTATTTTCAACATCAAGATAATTTTTTTGTCGGCTTCAAGAAAAAACACCAGCATTTTAACAATGTTAAATGTATCAATAATGATGTGTCGTTTTATCACTAGTTGACGTCTTTTGCAGCGCGATTGATGCACTATAGATTTTATTCGTTTTTTTTTATTATTATTGTTATTTATTTACTTAGAAATGCAAGGTGGGGAGAGGAACATGAGTGCCAATTTGGCTCTCCAATGAGTAAAAAGTTGCAGCTAATTAAAAATAAGTAAAAGAGTTGAGAAATATGAGCAGGGATAAAAAGACAAAATTTATTGATAGCTTCTGCAGTTCGGCTGTCAAACTGCCAAGCTAAGCTGTAAAATGCCAAATTAATTAAGGAGTCAATGGGGGATTCATCAGGGAACCCTAACAGTATTCAGGGTGGGCTTATTTACTGCATGATTCACCTAATATTGATTTGAGATAGAGTTCCTTCATCCAATCAAGCAATTGTTACTTCAATCACTAGATAAGGTTTCAAATAATTTAGATTTGACCCTCCCAACAGACTGCACATTAACCCCATCTAATCTAGGGCTAAGGTGACTATTCTCCAACCCAATCCAGCTTTTAAAAATTAAAACATTGCGTCCAATGGATGCTTTAATGGTACTCCAAAAAATTAAAAAAAAAAATATGAAAGAGTTGTATAAGTACAGTAGAAGTCAAATAAAGCCCAAATAACCAAAGTGTGTTTGGATCATTGAGGGGGAATGGAATTAGGTCCTACCCTCAATTCAAATTCCAAGCTATTGCACAAGCAAATCCTTGAAAGGAGATGTGACTTGAACTCCATAGAATTTGGCAATAGGCCTAGGACATGATTTGATTCCATTTGCATCCAGGGATTCCATACAAAACCAAACACAGATTAACAGAGTGACTTATTAGGGAAGAATCAACTAGATTTAGGATTTCAGTAACTCGCCACCTACTTAATTGCTGCCTACTGAAGCATTGGCATTGGATTGGAGTGATTATTTACAGCTTTTAGCCCTGAAATTTTGACAATAAAACCAATTATCAACTATGGGGTCTTTTTTAAATTCCATTTCCAATTATCAAAATCTCCACCTAACATAGGATTTAGATTAAGACAAGCTAAACCACCAACCCTTTTCTCTTTAGCCTAATCCAGTGTTTTAATAAGCCAGTTAGCCAGGGCCTCAAAAGAGTATGGAGAGAATGGAATATAGATTCCTTGCAACAGTGAATTCAAAATTCCCTCCATCTCTCCCTCTCTCTCTCTCTCTCTCTCTCTCCAACGCCAAGTCTACTTCACTCTTGTAACACGAGGAGCACTGGAGGAGAGCACGGTCAACCGTCAGACTGGAATCTGGAACCCATCCACCTGACACCCGGACGGATGCATCTCCACTGCAGCACCTCGGATTCCGATCCTACGGTTGACAGCTCGACACTCATCCTGAATCGCTCCAATGCTCTTTCCTTTTCATCCTCCTTTTGAATCTTGCCTTCACCTTTGCTTTTTCAGAATTCTCATCCCTCTCTTTCAATGCATTTACAGCGAGAATCCAAAGACCCAGCCAGCAACGTCTGAGCCTTTACAGAGTTCACAGCACGTGTGCCGTAGAAAAGACGCCACGTTTTACGCAGAATTTTACGTTCATTATTTATTTTTTTTTGCCAAACAGCCCACTAAAAACTAAATCAATTTAAATAAAACTTAAAATCAGAAAAATCCATTTTTATACACTCATCCTCTCAAAATCAACATTACAGAAGATTTAGGACGAAAAGAAGGACCAGATTCGATCCAAATTCTATCCTCCACCACCGCTGCAGATCCCGCTGAGGAGTACCGGGAATCTACAATTGGTTCCCGCCGTCGGAGGAGTCGCGACAGCCTGAGTCGGAGGAAGGACTCTCCCGTCAGCAAACAAGACCCGCCCGTTGCCCGACGGAGCCACCACACCTTCTTCCAGCTCCTCCGCCGCTCCGTAGAATGCCCCATCCCCGAATCTTCGCTCAACTTCCAGGAAGTCGCCCAACGAAGAAGGTCGCGTCGAGTCGTCCCTGCATAGCCTCCACCATCTCCCCCGCCTCTCCGTGGCTGTTGGTGCCACCACCATCACTTTTTTCTTCTTCGGCTTATTCTTCCCCTTCTTAGTACTACTGCTCTTCCTCCCACCGCCGTTACCGCCACCTCCTGTGTTGGCGGAAGCACCACCGGTGACGGCGGAGGAGGCGGATACGACGCTGTTTTCTCTCTGAGAAGATACCCTGAATGAGCCAGACCGGAAGCTCACTCCCATCAATGTCCCTAAGGTCGTGCTCCTATCATGGAAGAACGACCCCGTCGACTGCACCCAAAGAAAAATATAATTGAACCCAGATTACATATTTCACATTAGACCAAGAAAAAAAAGCAGATTTGACTGAGATAGAAGAGGCTGACCTCTGTATCTAGATCGGACGAAGAGACGTCGGAGATTGACGGAGACGAAGGAACTAAATCATTTCCTGGATCCAACATAGCGGCAGCTTCTCCTTACTCTTCTCTGCACTCTGCACAGACACAGACACCAGACCAGACCAAACCAGAGAGAGACAGAGAGAGAGCGCTTCTCTTCAACGAGCTTTAATCCTTTCCACATTTATTATTTTGTACGAGGGAGAGGAGAGATAAGAGGAGATGGCGAGTGATTGTTGCATAGCATTCAAAGACAATTATACCCCTGGAGTTCCCTCATATTGACTGACAAAGACTGCAAAGTAGAAAAGATATAGTGGTGTTATATACGCTGTGGGCGAGCTTTATGAAACATCACCATGGAAATCAACTCCTTTGATCAGACGATGGGCATCTACAATCTATTGAATGGTGTGGGGCCTAGCATCAGACTGGATCTTTATTAACATTGTTTGACCAAGCTGGGTTTGTTGTTGATAGGCTAGGGTACATTGACGACGAGGGACATTATTAGTTCACTGTAGTTAGGGACTTGGGCAAGGAACAGGTGGCAAATTGACGACACCATGAAGGATATACTTCAGCTTCTGAGATCAGAAGATGTCTGAGAAAATGACATAATTATCCTTAGAAGTTAAGCGACCACCCCTGTTGCTGGAAGAGAAGGATTCATGATCTAGATCTGTTTTGGGAGGAGGGGATGACGTGTAGAGCCTGTGGTGGGCCCCACTTTCCCTTGGTGCAGGGGCCATGGCACATGGAAATTTCGGTGCAAAACATGATTTCATTCTCAAATTTGGCTAAGAGAATGACTTCGCTTCCAGGGTATTGACTTTGGTAATGGTATGGTTATAAACTTTTAATGGTCGTATGGGCTTCATATTCATCAATTTCCGTAGTGAAGTGAACTACCATGATTCCTCAACATTTTGCTGGTCCAGATGAGTCCCCCATTTGTGGGTCCCACCTTGATATTTCAAATATCTGGTCTTTGGAGATAAAATCATGTAACCTGCAGTGATTTGGATTCTGAGAATCCAAACTCTCTTAATACTTGAAAATAAAAATGTAAAACCCTCGTTCATCCTATCCTTATAGGGGTGGCAATTTTCTCCGTCCCCAACGGGTATTCGGGCTCCTCGACCCAATGGGGTTGGGTATGGGGTATTTTCATGGGGTCGGGGTCAACGATAGGACTATCTCCGAATCTCTTATCGGGTTCAGGGACGAGGATGGAAAATGCAATTCCCGCCTCGCATTGGCCCCGATTAATATATATATAATATTATATATTATTCATTCTTTTTGTAAAAGATTAAAACTTAAAAACAAAAACTAATACTATTCATTCTAAAAAACACTCTACAAATAGAGAACCCTGAACCCTAGTTATTCACTTCTTCTTCTTTTGTCTTCATCACCGATTCGCTGACCGCCATTGCTGTCGCCACTCTTCCGTCGAACATCGGACGTCGGACGTCTATCGTCGCCAACTACCACTCAATAGAGGACAAAGAGACTCAAAGAAGAAAGAACTGAAAAGTAAAACCCAGTGCTTCAATCTTCCTTCGTCTATCGTCGCCGACTGACGTCGGCGTCACCTCTCTCTCTCTCTCTCACACACACACACACACAATCTCAATCTCTCTTTCTCTCATCAATATTGGGGTCCCCCATCGGCCATCCCTGTCCCCAAATGGTCACATCGGGGATTCAGGTCTCCGACGGGAAATTCATCCCTATCAGGGTCGGGGATGGAAGAGAATTCCTTTCCCTAACAGGGATTGAGGACAGGAATGGAGGGTGATTTGGGGGTCAAGGTCGGGGATGGGAAATATAATCCCTGCCCTAAACCCACCCGGTTGCCATTCCTATATCCTTCTCACATGTGGATTGGATTTAGGCTGCATTTAAAATAAGAAATGCCAAATGTAGTCTTCTTATGTTTTTTATAAATACTTAAACTTCCCTTGACCTTTTAACGTTGCAAAGACCTTCCCTAACCTTTGCTATAGAATATGTTTACTTACCCCATCCTTTAATTGCACATTAGAAACTTAACAGAAATATAAATCTATTGCTCTAATTTTTTTGGAATGCCCAAACTACCCATGAACCATGCTTTTGCTTTTTTTTACCAAATATACAGGTTTAGGGTAGTCTTCTTTGTTGTTTGCAAGTAGGTTTTTTGCAAAATCCTTGAGAAGAGTGAGTTGGGCGAAACTTGGAGAATAAGAAACTAAGCATGAATGATTAATAAAGTTAAAAACTTTAACTTTTTTGGTAGACAAACAAGGGTAATTTGGGAAACTTTTGCACTCCATCCACTAGAATTAATGGAAGGAGTCAATAAGCGTATTTTACACCAAAGGTTAGGGGAGGTCTTCGCAACATTTAAAGAGGAGGGGAGGTTTAAGTAAATGTCAGGGAGGTATAAGTATTTTACCCTATGTCTTGTTATAAATAAGCAATAAATAAGTAAAATAACATAAATAAATACTAAAAGTTTCAATTATTTGATTAAGACATGTAATAAATACATAAACTATCAATTGTCTTTCATATAAAATTTAAATTCTTATTAAATTCAACACCTAATATATAAAGTTTATATGCTTTCCAACAATATGTGAGTCAGAGAGGGTTAGGTTAGCCTTATATCGTATACTACCTATTCCCATACGGGTTGTAGAATCCCAAAATCCGTCCTTCAAGCAAAAAAAAAACCCACCCCGTCAAGGTGGATAGAGGTGGGTAGTGGGTACCCACCAGGTAGGGTAGAAATTGTCATCCCTATTCAGGTAGTCTACTATCTAAGTCATATTTATCAACCTGTGATATTATAAATTGTATAATAAAATTATAAAAAATAGATAAATTGTAGAAAAATACAAAAAAAATAAAAAAAAAAATTATAGAAACTTTTGAAAACATTTGATGTCTCTAATATTATATATTCATCAAATTTAACAAAAATAAGTGTAACAAATTACAAACAGCCAATCTGTAGTGCCAAAAAGATACATTACCTTGAAAACTTTGACCAATTAGAAACCTATGTGAATTTGATTGAGTACCAGTTGATTAGTTACCAATGATTGATTATTAGTCTTTTAGGTATCATACTTTTTTCTAACATAGTGAAACTCTAAGGCCATGTTTGGGAGTGCTTAAGTTAAAAATAAGTGCTTATTTGAATAAGCATTTATTTGCATTTGGCACCCTACTTTTTCAAGTGTTTATTTTTTAAAATAAGCACTTATTTTATATTGGGTCTTTGGTAGTCTTTTTTTCTAATAAGCATTTGTGACTATTTTGCCCTTCATTTTCTTTAAAATTTTCAAAATATACCCTTTGAAAGCACTTTTATAAAAGTACTTTTATGAAATCACTTTTGTAAAAGTACTTTATAAAGTGCTTTCGTAAAAGTACTTTCATAAAAGTGCTTTTATAAAAGTAATTTCTTAAAAGTGCTTTCATAAAAGTAATTCTATAAAAGTGTTTTTACAAAAGTACTTTCACAAAAGTACTTTTATAAAGTTCAACTAGGAATAATTTTATAAGTGGTATTTTAAAATTCAACTAGGGATAATTTTGGAAGAAAAAATTGAATAAGTACTTATTGTATAAATACTTAAAAAAAAGCTGGAATTTTGGGCTTAAAAAATAAGCCCTTATTTTTAAAATAAGCACTTATTTCGGGCTTATTTCCCAAATACCAATAAGTGCTTAGTGGCCCAAATAAGCACTTATTTTTAAGCACTCCCAAACATTGCTTGAGGATTAATGTTATTAATGAAGAAAATGGCTAAAAATATAGGAAATAAAAGAAAGAACTCGGATGGATATTAAGTTTATAAAACATTAGATATCACCTTTTTAGAACTTGGATGAAAGTCCTTTAAAACAAAGAATATTTTATAATTAAAAAAGAGGTTTGACGTATAACCCATCACCCATTGACCAGGTTGAATTGTTGGACCCAATTGGCTAGGTCACCACGTTGCTACTAATCCCAATCCTATCCAATGATGGCTTTAGCTTGAAAGTAACTAGAGAAGGAAGAAAAGAGAGTTATCAGTCTCAAAGAACCGTCCAACCTAAAAACTTAAACTATTACTGAGATTATTAATAGGTTTTTGTTCCCTAACATGGCCCTTCACATGAAATTCTGTTGGGCTTGAAGCATGGACAAGCATAGGCCCATTCATATCTTGTGCTGAAATTTAATTAACTATAATGGGGGCAACAAGGATCATATACTAGACCACTTAGGCCCTGTTTGATGATTAAGTGGTTGTTACAAGTACTTATTTTAACAATCACTTAAAGTTGTTTGGTAATCCACTTTCTAAATCACTTATTATGTTTTTAAGTACTTATTAGGGTGGGGATGTTTGGTAAGCAACTTTCCCCATAAATGCTTATATTGACACAAATGACAATTTTAGCCCTCACTTCACTCGTACATATATATAGAATGCTTTTTACATGTTATGCTATACATTTTAACCGAGAGTCCACGTGGACTCCACTTCATGACAACTGAGAGCCCATGTGGACCCACACATGAATCGCCATGTGGACCCAATTAATAATAATAATAATAATAATAATAATAATAATAATAATAATAATAATAATAAGCTCCCATCTAAACTCTCGTACTAGATTGTATAAGAAAACCAGAATCTCAACTCAAGCAAACTCTCTACCAGGGCACATTCTACTTCCTTGTGTGTTGAAGTTGTAATCCACCAAACCTAAAGAATCCAAGTGATTACAATTTACAAATAATTCATATACCAGTTGTTTGTGATTCTCTCATCCATCTATTCTTAGAACTTACCTTCCAATCTTTGGGGATTGAAAATCCAGCATACGTGAAGTCTACTATGGCCTTCCTGAAATTTCCTTGAATCGAAGGTGTAAGTCTGAGTTCTTCATTCACCACGTTCCAAGAATATGTCATCTTCTGGATGTCATCCTTGTTCAGTGGTTCTCTGGGTCTCCTTTTCAACTCTATTTCCCTTTGTTCTGCCGAACAACAATTCAATGTTAGACCCAATACAGATACCTAAAAAATCCAATCTACTAAGAGACAAATTACAGAAGAAGAACATACCCACGAGGACTCACTAGTAGCAGTCGGGCATCTCAGCCAAGTATTTGATCAGCATCATCATGGTAGAACTGTTGGTGTCATGCCC